ATAAAACCTACCTGGATGCAATCCATGGCAGCAGTAATACCGACATGAACAAAACGCAATACATATGCTAACGATATCGTCGCGCGATTTATGGACAAGCGATACAAGGTGTTCCGCTTAAACCGGCGGTTGTCAGCCAAGTGTGTCTCGATGGACGGCAAGTATGGTCGCTCGAATGGAAAACGGAGATTTCGATCAACGAGGGAATACATAATTAGACGGCCGACATTGTACGAATCGCGCGACGCACTAGATTATCGATGAGATTCTCTTGTCAACTAAGTCGTCAAACATTTCTCTGTTCGGGCTTATTTATTTTATCGATGTTATATTTTATCTGTAATTATTTATTAATAGTGAAATTGCATTCATGAATTTATTGCTGAGTCATTTATTTTACCATCAATTTTATTAACTATCTTTTTTTGTTCTTTTTTGAAATATTATTTTTTGAAATATTACAGTCATTAAATGAAAACCATTAGGTATTATATAGAGAAAAATCATTCAACTTTATATTATAAAATTTAAAAAAATGCGGAAAAATATGTATATAAAAATATATATAAATATATCTATACCTTCGATTAAATATATAAATTCTTTATTGATTACAAATTTTATATATGTATATATCATCAATATTTTATTCATTGGTCATAAATCGACATTTTTGCTAACAATTATTTAAATGAAGAATTAAAATTAGTAAGGATTTTTAAGAGATTAGTAGGGTTTTGTAAGAGATTGTTGAAAACATGATTCATTGATAACGTAAAATGACCTAATCATTGGTTGTGCATTTATACATTTATGCATGAATACATTATTCAATTTGAATATAACAGTATTGCTTTTGAATATAACAGTATTGCTTATACATAACAGCAGAACATCTTTTGAAACTCGAATATTGCGCAAAAGAACGTTTCCTAAATTGTTAGAATTGTTCTCTCATACGCGCTATGCATACCATAAAATTTTTAATTTCGGTTTTAGTGAAATGCTCTTTTATGGGTATGATAATTATTGTTAATAACGATATAGGCGCGATACAGGCAAATGCAAGTAATGTAATAAACTGACTTACATGCATATAGAACTATTCTCTATTTCTGCTTTGTCTAATTACCGCACGTTTATTCGCATATGCGTATGTATTTACATGTTGCGTTTAACATCATGCCTTGTATTACATTTTTTGTTCAATTAACTGATTACGAGTTTTGTAATATAATTAATCGAACTATTAGTTATAAAATGCTATACCCATATTCAATATTATCAAAATATATCGTTTACATTTTTCTTCCGAAAATATTATAGATATATATGTATATTCTACAATATATTATTACTATATTAATAATTATTTTATTATATTGATAACATAAAATAATTTATCTGCAATAATAAATAAATTATTTAAAATTTACCGAGAATTAAAATCCTATTAATTCTGCTCTTCATTGTAAATTTGTTAGAATAAAAATTTTGATTTTATGTAAATAAAATAAATTATTTATATTAGAAAAGTGTATGTGTGTGTATGTAAAAGAAAGATAGAGAGAGGGAGGGAGGGAGAAAATGTAAAATTTAATTAAAATAATTTGATTTAACTTTAATAATAGTTGAAAACTTTTATCGATACGAGATTTCATTTAATAAATTTTTGACATTTAAATTCACAGTATTTTTACAAAGTATTGAAATAAACTACTTAAATTGATTTTAATTATTTAAATTAAATATCATTTATTTGATTTTAAAACCACAAAGGTACAAAGCGAATTTCTTTTTCGATAAAAAAGCATTTTTTATGATATGTTCGATAATACATATATTCGAAAATTTATTTCCTGTTTATAATTTCTATAAAATAATGCAAAAGATTTGCTTTACGTAATTTATAGACTACTAAATTTGAGTTATTTCAAAAATGAAAAATATATAATACAAATAACATAACATTATTGTGAATTATTCTAATTATTTCAGAGAATCAATTGCTGTTGTCTATGATTACGCGATACAAATTATATACAATTAAATAGTATTACGTTGATTTTAACGATATATGCTGAAAGCGCGTATATTGTTTATGTGTACGCTTCTCAATACATACAGTTTTAAATATTTTCTTCAAAAACACATTTTATAAATTGCACACTTTACACGTTAGCAAATAATTTACTATGGATAAAAAAGCAAATAATTAAAATTATATTTTGTTTGAGATGTCAAAGAAAAAATAATTTTTGCTAAATGCTTGTTTAAAATTGAAATTTTATTTTTTCTTTTCACAGAAAAATTATTTTAGTTGAAATGTGATTTTATTAAATAAGAGAAATACGTACGTAAACAATACTAATGTGTGTCTGTTAATTTCACTTCTATGTAAACGCTTGCAGAATGTTGTGTGGTCGTGCTCTGTTGGTTGTAGCAACGCTATCCGCATACAACTCCAATTTGCATTGCTAATATAAATATCAAGCTTGAAGCACAAGATAACCTAGCAGATTCCAGCATTCATCAAAGTCTGAGAGCAGTTGCTGATTACGTTCTTAATTGGCGGTTTCTTACCTGTGTGTTTCCCATTTTCGCATTGTTTCACGTATTCACGGATCACTGGAAAGTGCGAGACTATTTCCACTTTAATTTTAAGCACATTTGCAAAATCTCAACAATAAAAATAGAATTGCGATTATGAGAAAAGTTGCTTTCTATAAACGATATTTAGCGACGTAGAATCAGAGGTACTTGAAGCTCTTAATTCACCGCTTAAAGTTTTTAAACAGAATTTTTTGTCGGACGCGAGATATGCAATTTATCTTGGTGGATACTTCGGTTTTTTTCTTGTCGACACCTGTCCGGAACTTTCCAAAATTTCTCACGCCAACTTGAAGCTTAAAGTGAAGTATGCCGTAAATGTCTCTCAAACATTTTTCTTTTTTTTTCTCTTTAATCTATACTTGAAACTATCAAGAGAAAAATCTTCGGCAAGTACCGACGTGTTAGCCGTGCAAATAAAATTTACCACCCAAGTTTGCGGCCGAATTTACCTAGTACGCTTTGAGTTTCCAAGTTTATCATAGTGTGCATCTTTTAATAGGCTCGGATAACAGTTTAACATTACGGTATTATGGAGAAGATGCAGTTAAGAACCTCTTTACATTTTATAATAATCTATTATCATTTCTGTGATGACACAGATATATAATTATACATAAAAGATTAATAAATTAGTAAATTAGTTTAATTATATATTCGGAGAGCATAAAGTTTTAATTTTTTATGCAATACGTGAATTATGTAGAATGTAATTTAAAAAACTCGTTATTTAAACGTAATTACATTATATGTGTATTTTTAATATATGGAATGTAATATGAAAAGATTATTTAAATATTTTGTATATAAAATCTAAAGAGAATGAAATAAAAAAACAAGGATTATATTATACGTGCAAATGAAATTATAAAATATGCTCAAAAATTATGTTAGATCTCGTATTTATTAAAATAATACAAAATTTACGCATCATCGATTAAGTCATTCGCGAGTACCATAGTCAGGGACACTTCCCAATTGGAGTCGGCTAAGTTAGTGGAAGTTATGCCACGCTGCGCTCCAACTACCATGGATGGAAATTCGCCCAGGGGTATTATGGCGTTGGTGTCACGGGGTCGACAGACACCAGAGAGCTAACCCACTGTAATTCTCCAGATGATTTTAATCCGTTGTCATTTAAATCATTCCTTATTAGAAGTTTTGTCGCATTTGAACATTTCATTTAACTTGTTCCATAAAGGTAGTTAAAGACTGACATTACTCTTAATTAGACTTCTTGAATAAATTTTCTAAGTGTTGGTCGTTACAAATCTTTTGGAAATATCTGGGGTCTGTCAACAAAAAGAAATACTTCAACTAAAAATATATTTTATTATAGTAAGGCCTTATAGTGTCCACGATATATCTATTTTTCTTTGGCGCATCCCAATACATACGCCCAATATATACGCTAGTGTACATTTTCAATTAAAATAATTTGTTACTAAATTTTAATTAATTAATTGTAGAAATTAATTAGCATAAAATTATTAAATTGTGTTTTAGAAATTGTTTCAAAAAAATTCTATTTTGCTATGTGATCGCAATTGTAACTTTTTATGCTTTGCTCTGGAGATAGATGATACATTTTAATAAACAGACAATACAATTATGTAATGATTAACATATTATTTATTCATTCTATGATTATAATTATGAAAATTTTTTGTTGAAAAAAGTAGAAATTAACAAGGCAATATAATTTATTTATAAAACTGTAATTTAACAATAGAAAATAATGAGATAAAATTTACGATATCTTATTTTTAGTACATTTTAATCTAATATTATATATTTGTTTGCTTAATTGAAGATAGAAAGAATAATGTACGTATTTATAAATGATCTCTTACATAAGATAATATTATCTCTTCTAAGATAAGGAGATTAATAAAAATTATATAATATATATTATGCATTTCTCAGGTAAATATTTAACACGTATTATTATTTGATACTATGTGATTCTCGTAAACTGTGCACAACAAAGTGTACAAAATTATATATATGTTTTAAATTGAAATAAAAAATAATTTTGTAATTTTGCATAGATAATTGCAATATTATAACTTAAGCTAATAAATATAGAATTTTTATAATACAATTTCTGAGAATATCTCAGATAAATTTAAATTCTTCTAATCGTGCTACCACCTACAATACATATTTTTGTTCTATATTAATCAATTCACAAATTTTTATTTTCGACTTGCACATTTTTGCAAATACTCCCTGATCTGCATTTGTTCTGTAGAGTTTCGAGTCGTGCAGAAACTTTGCGAGATAAAAAAGGAACTTCTCGAAAATCAAAAATTAAAAGGAGGTAAAAAAGGAACTTCTCGAAAATTAAAATAATTAGCAATTATAAAAAAAATTACAATTGCACTCACCCTCATGGTTGAAGTCTCACATGGTCCCACCGACGCTGAAAAACACCTTCAGTCAGCAGTGGGTTCGCGTCTGTCACCCATCCGCCATACTCCGCTGTTGCTCGGAAAAACAACCGATGGGCGTCACTTGTTTTTGCACAAGACAATTTTCACACTCGATCCCGACCTTCAATTTTCGATACCGCAATCCTTGATTCAAATTCTTCTTATACGTCCAAATTTCACGTTCAGATATTGCATCTAATCTTTGCGACCGCTTATTCAATTGTTACTTGACATCTTGCAAATTATTCGGAGTAATTGTTCTAGCTAAATTGTTAGACAAGTCAGATATAAGTTAACCGAATAAGTTCATGGAGGATATGAGCAACCGTGAAGAAATTTGCGGATTAAGAATTTTTATACAGTTTCAATGAAACCTTTCTTTATCATGTGTTCGTGGAGACAGCAATAGAGAATATGGTCTGTCGAAAGCTCGAACGCAAATTTAGAGATCTGCGGAAACGTGGTTCGCGGAAACTCTCTCGCACAGCATCGAACCGAGCAAACGAACAACCGGGTTGATGCGAGGTCGTGGCCCGGCAGCCGGCGACTGGCTGCTGCTAGAAAGCTCGCAAGCTCGAGCCAGTCGGTCTGGCTAGGCGCAAGCTCCCTACTACGCGGCCTCGAAACACCCAAGCGAGCACAACGCCGCGCATCTATCGCCCACCCTCCGCGAGAGAATTTCTTCTGGCGAGTCGCGTCACCGAGGAAAACGCTGCCAGATATTTGGCAGCTTGCGGCGCCTTCAAACTGCGCAGAGTACATTCGATTCCTGTCTGTTTTTATGAGATTGAAAAATAGAAATTGTTTAACATTCGATATTATTTTAGTGGAAGTACAAATTTCATAATATAAACGTATGAAAATGATCTTTCGTTATCACAGTTAATATGAAACATATTTTGTTTTATCTATCTGTTATATGTAAGATTGGATTTACTAGAATTACAACAATTTTAATCTCTTACATGTTATGAAATTTTAACTTCTATTAGACTATATTAGAACATTATCATTTTTCTGATTAACAAAAGAACAAGAGAAAGTAATGAATTTTTTCTGAAGTTTTTTTATGCTTACAGAATGAATTACTTTCTCATGAAGTGCCGATTCCGCATGGATGAACCGAATTTAATCCGTCGCGAATCGCCGTTAATCGCGAAAGCTGATATCGATATTAATGGCAGCGCGGATATAATGCTACATTCGTCGATGTTCCAATGATTGATCGATAATGAATTACTCCGCCATTTCCGGCTGCAAGCGTATATTAGTCGATTTTATGCATCATTTCTTTTAATTTTATGTAAAATGGAAATACATTATTTTGATCGAAATTTTTCTTGCATAAATTTCAATAATAATTGTATACATACAAATGAGTTTACTTTTTAGAAAATTAAAATTAAAATCTCAAATGTCAAATATAAAGAAGACATGTTTTTTTTTTAAATTAAATTTATTCAGAACAAGAGTGATGATAATAAAATTTTTGTTTTTGATTATGTTTTAAAAAATTGATTTGTAAAAATTTAATTTGTAGAAACTTTATTCAATATCTTATAAGTAATATCTTATTCAATATCTTATAAGTAAAATTAATAATAACAGTATTTCAATTAAGAGAGAAAATTCGCGCTTTGAAATATAGAAGAAAATCAATCGTAAAAATAAAAGAATCAACAGCTACTAGACAGCTTAGTAGATCTATACTTCAATTTATACGTTAAGATCTTTTACGATGCGCACTGATATATATTTCGCAATGGCATTTGTGGCGCAAGGTTTACGACAAGCATAAAAAGTTTTATCGTCGATCGCATTGTCATAGGAGATGTGTCTTCGATTCGGCGAATGTGAAAGAAAAGGAGAGAAAAATGAAGGGACAAATTTTCTTTAATTATTCTTGACGAACCGACGAAAATGCCACTACGTTTGCAAGCATAGTTTGCGAGCTCACGCTTGTGGCGAACCTGAGCACAATTGTGGCACTGCGGATGGCCACAAAGTGCTTTGATAGCGTGAACGCGAAGCTATGCAAGCTGGTTCATATAGGTGAAGAAGGGACTCGGACATCACTTTTACTTTGCGCGTTTTAATTAATTCGCGCGCAAAAACGAATTCCAGAAGCGCGCCAACACGAGGCGGTCATGCGCGAGAACGCTTTGTTCGTGTATTTTTGGAAAAAGGTTCTCTATTTTGATCAAGGAAATATTTTGAATAACAATTTACTGTAATCATTGAAAAAAAAATCAGGTTAAATAATTATCAAAGCAATGCTTTATGTTATATGCGATATGTTACAAGAAATTTTAGAGATACATATGTTATTATAAGTAAAAGAAACATTGAAAAGATTTTATTATATATATATATATATATATATATATATATATATAAACGTAAAAGACTTTGTTTAATATATATACATTTATAATAATTTTATTTAAACAGAATGAAAATACTAGAGAAATATGTTTAATTAAATATATTATCTGTGTAAAGTTTTTTTTTTAACGAAATATAAGTTAATTCTTCATAGCTGATAATATTAAAAAAATTTAAAAAGAATTTATTAAATTATAAAATATAAAGTTACTTTTGAAATTTCAAAAGAGAAAGTTGTCCTAAAAATGTTATATTTAAAAATATATATTTCCCTTTTAAAACAAATATTTGTTTGAACATAAACTTTAATATATTTTAATTCTTTCTATATTAAATTTAATATTAAAAATATAAATATTAATAATGCTTTATTCATTAAAAAATATGTTAATATTTTATAGATTTTATGTATTCTTGACATGTATAATGTAAAATATTTATTTTGGTGAAATAGAAATGAATTTTACAATCATGAACATAACAATTAATCGGATAATGAAGATAAAAAATATAAAGATACAAGTATTTTAAAAATTTTTAATAAGGTACGAAGCACAAGAATGCTATGGATATTCTAAATAAAGGATCGCGTGCGATTGTTTAATCATCAAACAAAATAATTCAAAATAACGATCAATCGAATGATACGGTCTTCGTATAAAGCCGTGTAACGTTTATTTTGCTCACGCATGCGCACACAATTCGACAAAAACAGGGTGTACTTTTAATTAAAACGCAAATGCAAAACAGTTCCTTTTGCACACGTTTTATTATGAGAAATCGTCGGATTGCCAAATGCGTTGTAATTTTGCTTGCGTTGCGTTTGCCGTACTAGTGATAACCCTTTGCCGCGTTTGCCTCCTCCTATGTGTGTATTTCGAACATATATTATCCCGCCAGTTTACGCGACCTGAGGCAAGTGTCGTTACACGCGAGATTCGTGTCTCTCTCTCTCTCTCTCTCTCTCTCTCTCGCTCGCTCTTTCTCTCTTCCCCCTCCTCTCCTTTCTACACACACATGAATCGATATCACGCGTCAGTTAGTCTCTAAAACGACGCTTGTCGCAATTATTGTTACTCTCCGGGCTAAATCACTTATATCATTTCCTATTTATGTAAATTATTTGCTTTCTCGCAAAGATAATACACGTTGAGTTATAGAATTTTTAAAAAATTATACATGCATATTTCGATTTTTGATAAACATCCGTTTAAACATAAGAGTTTTCAAAACTATCTAAAAAATTTATTATTATTCTATTTTTCAATATTTTATATATTTTTAAACTACTTGCTTAAAATTTTTTATTTTCAGTTAATAATAGTTTTAATTACATGAAGTAAATTTCACAAAATTACATTACTTATTGTGTCATTATTCACTTCATTACGAGATCAAATGTTCTAATATTTTGACAATTAACAACAATATTAAATTCTAATAACAATGAAAGTATATTACAATTTTTTAAAATTAACTCTTAAATGCATTTTATAGGCCTATAAGATTAGCAGAATATGTGCGATTTAATAACATGTGAAAATGATGCTATATTTAATGATTAAACATCAAGTTATATTGGAGTATCGAGTGAATCAATAATTATGAAATAATCATTTGTGATACATTATCAGATCGCGAAATTTTTTAATACAATAATATCACGAATTTTAGACATTAGGATCGCATCATTACATTAATTGACGTCTGGATTTTTGGAGTAATTAGAGTGCTCAGATTAATCATCCGAGCAAGCTTAAAAAAACCAAGAGATAGCTCATCGATGTTCCTTCTTGGGACTTTCAGCCTTCTAATGTCTATTAATCTATCTTGTTTTGGATAGATTCCAGCATTCGTGACACAATTCTTAACGATGTCTTCGATCATGTAGTCCTTCAGATTGACAAGCGACGTTTTAGTTACAAGATCGTAAGATAAAATTTCGTTCTTTCCTTTACATTTTATTCAACTTTTGCAATTGCCAAAATTCTACGCTTAAGAGAATAACAAATGTGTAATATTCGCCCTGCGTATTAGTTTATGAATTCGTTTAACGTAAAGCGTAAATGACGAAATGAAATGATGAAACGAAACTACCAGAAATGCGAAAAACCCACCCCGACAATGCGACTTAAATATTCAAATTACGACATTCGAATGCAGATGAGACCGCAAAAAAAGAATTCGCGGAAAGGCTGGGGATGTTCTTCTCGTATTTTGTGCGTATACGCGTAGCTACATGCAGGTCCCCGGATGACATCCAACTAAATTTTTATTCAAATGGTTGTTTTAGAACCACCGAAACTTTTTCTCCTTGTTATTTTCCCTCTTTGTTATTTTATAAATATATTATGTAATATCTCGTAATCGTATGTCACAAAAATATGTCTCGATTCAATGTTAACATGGTATACGGGATATTTTTAAACATGTGCGGTTTTCTCAAACATAAATCAGGTCTTTGTAATAATATATATTGTTCGTCAAGAAATCATTTTTATGTATTACATAATAAATAAAATTTTACTGAATTTATTGTTGGAAAAAAGTCGATTAATGACTTGATAACCAAAAGGGGAATTGTGTTGCAGATATTTATATTTTGAATAAAAAGAAATATAGTGTACATTTTGGGATTGTTCGAAAATGTAAACTTGATGTAACAACGTCAATGCAGCAACAGGCGTTTCCCTCGCTTGACGTAGGAAGAACTATACCGTTATTAAAATTCCCTGACGCTAAATGGACGTCGTCCCTTCATAGCAGCTTGCTGTCATATACAGCCCTATTGTTCGCAATTCGTAACGCGTTTCGTGAGCGCTATTCTCTTTGTTACATCCTGCATCATTGCAGGTCATTGCGATTTGCTGTCAGAACGTTGGTTTTACGACAGATATAATCAGGAAGATTCCCGAACATCCGTTCCATGACGATTTGTTTGACTTTTTAGGATACACGATCCTGGAAAGAGCCCGAGAATATAAAATTTGTAAAACAAGTCACGTGTCGCTTGCCAATAAATTCGCAGCTTTCTTCCGCTGCGATAATCAACGAACAGCGTGTCGAAGGACGATGCGGTACTGTCTCACATTAAAGTTTCATAGAACGTTCCGCAAAGCAGTGAAATAATTTTGTTGTTAAAGTGTAGTCACGTGACTATTGCGTCAGGAACACCTCATATGG